AACAACAACAACAACATATTCATTCTTTATACTTGTTTGTCTGTTTTCTCTACCTATCTATTTTACCTTATTTTGAAACTCCTTCTGAATACCCATAGTATTTTCTCTCTGCCATATATTTTTGACATTTAATATAATTCAATTTGGAACTTTATTTCATTGTTGCTTCCACTGTTTTTATACTGGTTCTAACCATATTATCTCCTCTATTATATCCTGTACAGAACTGTCAACCCCTTGCTGGCCAGCATTATAGCATACAGTTCTTCTTTAGTAGTTAACCATCTCCACAGACACTCTTCTTTCATCTCGTAATGACTTCAAATGCAGTGCTTACCACACTGCCCAACACACAGTAGAACTTAGTTAAATACCACTGCATAACAAACCTGTATTCCAGTTTTTTTACTTCCTTTCATGGAAAAGTAAACACATATACACAATACGCCCTTTTTCCCTTTCTCAGTTTTTTTGAGATACTGAGGGGATAGCAAAAGAAAGGATTTGGGGCTATTTTACCAATTCATATTTAAGTGCTTGAATGAACTGCAAAGAGGTGTTGTAAGATGTTTTCCTTCATCAGAGCAAAATCTTGATGATGAGCCAACTTTATCTCCAGATGAATAGATATCTAAGTCATCTGTCAACAAAAAAGAAAACACCAGAGATGACATATTGAGATCATATACTAACAATCACATTCTAGGCTCCAAAGATAAGATAGCAAAAGTACTTAAAGGTTTCTTATCTGTATGTCTCCCTAATTAGACTGCAAACTTACAGCAAACAGGCACTAACTCTTACATTTAAATATCACTTTACTGATAACAAAATGCTTTTTCACCCATTACCTTCTTTGATCCTAGCAATAACCATGTAAAGTAAGAGACTAGGTTAGGAACCTAAGGACCAAGACACTATGTAAATTTTCCCAAGTAAAGTATGTAGCAAGCGGGAAGACTAAAATTCAGAATCTAGCCTTCTTTCCACCTAATCATGATATTCTTGTCAGTCCTCAAACATTTGTGTAATAAAATCATAGCCTATATCTAAATTCCGTGACTAAAAGAAAAAGGGGCACTTCTTTGACAAGAAACTAAAAAATACTTCTTGAACCTATCAACTTTTCTCTAACATATCCTTACTCCTCAGAAATTTAATGAGTATTTTGTACTCATTAAATTTTATTTTATTTTGTAATGCTGGAAATTCTAGGGCTAATTTCATTACTAGGAGTCTCTCTGGTAGCATAGTGGCTAAGGCACTTGACTGCTAACCAGAAGGCTGGCGGTTCAAATCCACCAGCCACTCCTCGGAAGGAAGGTTGGGCAATCCTACTTCCGTAGTGATACTGCCTCGGAAACCCAAGGAGGGGTCGCTATGAGTCGGGGCCGACTCGACGGCAAATAACAACAACAACAACAATTTCATTACTAAAGCACAATTTTAATTAAAGATACTTTTTGAAGATTCAATGACATCCAGAATATTTTTTATCATACTGAAGGAATGTTTCAGGACAATGTTTTTCAAATCAAATAACTTTATGTGAAAACAGATTTACTGATCCAGTTACCTGGTATAACCCACCAAAGCAAACATCAAGAAATGACTTAGGTTTCACAATTTTAAATGATAGAACTTAGGGGAAAAAAAAGAAATTCTCTAATCAATCAAGTGATAAATTCTCAAGATGTTAACTACTCTTTCTGCTATAATTATCCCAAAGTTTAGTGATTACATTTACGACTAATATACAATAACATAAAAACAAAAACCAAACTCACTGCCATTGAACCAGATCCGACTCAAAGCAACCCCTCCTTGGGTTTTTGAGGCGGTATCACTATGGAAGTAGATTGCCCAACCTTCCTTCCGAAGAGTAGCTGGTGGGTTTGAACCGCCAGCCTTCTGGTTAGCAGTCAAGTGCCTTATGCACTACACTACATAGTTATACATATTTCCACAATTTTTTCTTAATAAAACACTTAGTTACAAATTAACACATACAAGTACTACCTACTCAATATAATTCCACAGTATAATATTTTTTGTACACATTTATTTGATCAATTCTTTCTGTAGTGCAATTATCACTACTCTAATAATTTGGATAAGTTTATCCCTCAAAAAACAGCAATTAGTCCTCTTTACCCTATGTACTTTGTTCAACTTTTTTTTTTTAAATTGTGCTTTAGATCCAAGTTTAGTCTGTTTTACATTCAACATTTCGTGTACATTTAGTTTCATTCCCCATTTACCATCCCCAACCCTAACCCACTCTCCTCCCCTCCCTGCCCAGTAACCCACCTCCCCCACCCCTGTGCCCCTCATAGTTATGAACTCCTGTGTGTCCTGCATTTCTTCCATGTGAATGTTGCCCCTCAGGTGCCCCATGGTCGATTGCTCTAGGGGATGCATTTCCATAGAGTATGTGGGTGCGTCTGTGTGTACATCTTGTTTACTACTGGGCTGAGAGCTAGCCCCTGGGAATAAGTTTTATTCCAGGCCCAAAATGTATCCCAGGGCTATAGTATTGGGGGTCTCACCAGAATCCATCCAATCAGTAATTCTGGTCATTACTGTGTTTTTAGATTTTGCCCACATTTTTCCTCCCACTCTATCCAGGATCTCCAGTTTTGATCCTTTTCTGAGTGGCTGGCATTGGTAGCCGCACACCATCTAGTTTTTCTGGTCTCTAGGTCCATCATGTCCTAAGGCTGATTGCTTCCAAATGCCCTTGGTTTTTTACACTCTTCTTCGCTTCTGACGACAGAAGACCATTAGCTGCAACTTAGATGGCTGCTTGAAAGCTTTTAAGACTCCAGTGGCTACTCACCAATGCAGGATGAGGAACAAGATTTTTATGTATTTTGTTGTGCCAACTGAGTCTGGTGTCCCCCAGTACTATGGTCCTGAGTCAGTAGATCCACTGGATCACCCTCCCACAGTGCCTAGCTGTCTGTGAGGGATTACTCTATGTCTGTCTTGTTTCTGTAAGGATTGCAGGCCTTTTGTATCACTGGTATCTGCAAGATTAGCCTCAGCTGAATCTATCCTTTGTCTAGAGAATAAGCCTGTTCACTGATCCCCATCTGATCTTCTCAGATGTTTATGTGTTTATCTGTAGCCTGGTGTTTGGTGTTGATGGCAATGCAGTATTGTTGGTATTAGCATCTGTCATCTATATCTTATGTGCACAATTCGGTGTCCTCCCTTTTCCTAATGTTATTATGGTGGTCACCGACTCTTTCTATACCATCCCTTCCCTTATCCACATCAGTGTGTGGCTCCCAAGTAGCCCAAAATTAATCCCACCCCTTCCCTCCCCACCCCACTCACTACAAAGTGAGTTCCCTTTCTTAACCAAACTCTTCTTTGTCTTTTGACACTAATGGACTCATACTGTATTTGTCCTTCTGCAATTGACTTATTTCACTCGGCATAATGTCCTCCAGGCTCATTCACATTGTGAGATGATTCGCATATCCCTCATTGTTCTTTAATGTAGCATAGTGTTCCATTGTGTGAATGTACCATAATTCAGTTATCTACTCATTCACTGATGGGCATCTAGGTTGTTTCCATCTCTTCGCTATAGTGATTTGTGTTGCGATTAACTTAGGTGTGCTATGTCTGTTCATGCCCTACCTCTCACCTCTTGAGGATGTATTCCTAGTAATGGAATTACTGGGTCAAATGATATTTCTA